CTTCCTCATCTATAAAATGAGATCTTATCTGGAAAAACCTCATCTGTAAAATGTGGATTATGAGCCAAGCCTACCTCCCAGGTCTATTGTGGGCATCCTGTGAAATAAGAACGGACTGTCTATGTCTACCTAACAGCTGTGACAAGGCCTCAGAGACTGACCTTGTCGGCATGGGCTCTGTGCTGTGCTTTTATTATGGGGTGAGGGCCCCCTTGGACACAGGTGGGAGGCTACTTCCACCTTGGGGGTCCCCACTCTCCCAGTCAGCCTAGGGTTCTTTGCCTTACGAGGGAGGATGACTCCTGGAGGAAAGTTGCTGCAGGCGAGCCCCCTGTGGGCTGGAGAGCCAGGAAAGCACATTGAAGGCTCACCAAGTTCAGGGTTAGGGCTTTGACATTAAGCAAATCCACTTCGTAAACTTGGCTCTGCCACTTGCTAGCTGTCTGACGTTGGGCAAGTCGTGAGCCTCCGTTTCCTCATTTATAAAGTAGGGACTAATTACAGTACCCACCTCTTAGGTGTATTGTGTCCGTTGATGGAGATAACGTATGTGAATTAGTTAGCACAATGCTTGAAATATATTAAATGCTCAGTAAGTGTGTGTTTACCCCACACCCCTGAAAGGCTATGTGGGGAATTGAGCCCTTAACACTTTGGAGGGGACTCAAAAACTTGCAGCACAGAGATTTTCATCCTGGATGCTGAGTCCCTGAGTTGGTTTCCTTATTTCGGAAAGTCCAGCAGGACCCACATGGCCTCTTGACGAGGGTGCCTTGACTGAACAGTATCCACTTTCGGCTGAAATTCCAGCAGTTCCATGGGCCTCGCTGACCCTGGCCTGATTACCCCTAGATTAATAACAAACAGGGCCCATGAATTATTCCTTTACAAGTACAGTTTATATGGGAGATATAAATCTCCGAATGGGCTGAGGCAGAGGGAGGGGGAGACCTGGCAAGGGTTGGCCTCCCAGGGAAGCCGTGGAAACCAGGGGAGCTGGTCCTGCAGGGCCGAGACTGCCCTTGCAGAGACCCAGCGTGGGGACGGTGGTGTGGGTGGTGGCAGGCCCTGCTGGCTCAGGGTGAGCTCTGGCTGATGGCAGGAGGCCCAGACCACCCACCAGAAAGAGGGCCTGAGGCTGAGTGGCCCCAGGCCTGAAAGGGGGCAGCCCTGACCTGCAGACTTGGGGACAAATGATGATAGGAATGTCTGAGCCTCCTCAGTCCCTCAATGCCCAACCCAGGCTGGCTCCAGGGCCAACCCCCCCCCCCAAGCCCTCATCCCCTGCAGACTCCAGACACCACCCCCTGGCCAGCCCCATCTTCTAGCTACTCGCTCGGCTAAGCCGCCTGCACGGTATGTGCTTGCAGCCGAGACGCTGTGTCCCTTCCAGTGGGGCTGCAAACAGAACTTCCTGAAACCTAGTGAGGCCAGGGTGGCAGCAACAGAGAAGCAACTGGTTTTCCAGAAGGGAGAGAGCAGAGGATCGCAAGAGGGGAGCGAGAGGTTGCAGGGCTGTCTGGGGAGCTCTAAACGCGGGTCAGGTTGGTTCGGAATGCCATAGGCTTTCAGAGCTGAGAGCACCCCTCTCAGTCAATGGGAAAGCAGAAAAGCTTTTCAGGGAAGCCAGGGAAGGGGCAGGACTTGCCCAAGACCACACAGTCTGAATAGCAGAGCTGGGACAACACTTGTTGGTCCTGCAACCACACCAGGCACCTGCCCCAGCCCCCATCACCAGACATTTAATCCTCACTCCTGTGCATCCTCAGTCCCACACAGTGGCTTCAGCTGCTGGACAGCCTAAGAGATTTACTCTTAGTGCAGAGGGTAGAGGGGGAGTTTTTGGGGTGCGTGGAAAGATGGCCTAGCCCCGTCCCAGTGCCCTGGCCTTCCTGCCAGTGGGTCCTTCCTGGCAGCCCTTCCCATACAGACCCAGAGGCTCCACTTGGACCCCTGGCAGCTTCACGGGTGCACTGGGAAGAGTGGGGCTGGATTAGTAGCCAAGAGAACGTGTCTGGCCCCATCACTGTCTTGAGCAAGTTGCTTCTCCTCTTAGGCCTCCGTTATCCCATCCAGCAAGTGGAAGTGGAGACTGGAGAGAATTTCTAGGGATCAGTTTCTGGCACAGTGTCTCACCCAGAAATATGCCTCAACTTCTCTCTTCTGCCAGCCTGCCCTCCCCACAAATCTCTCCTTGGACTGGGCCCGGGGCCAAGCATAAGTGGAGCAAATTATTTTGTGTGCAAAACGATGCCCTCCAGATCCTGACAGGGGGCCCCTCGATGAATCCCTGTGCCTTAACCTGCAGCCTTTAGCAGCCCAGGCAGATAACAGGGCCAGGTGGGGATGGGGCAGTGCCGCAGAGCAGATGGCCAGGGCCGTTGATGGGAGCCAGAGGGGTAGGGTTGGGGGCCATGCAGCCAGGCCAGCCAGCGGGGACAGGGGGTGACCGTCAGAGCCAGGCTAGAGAGCTTTGGGACTGGGGCTGGGGCTGGCTATTTTTAACTCAGCTTAATTTTCTCTACCTGGAAACCAACTCTTGCCGGTGGGGTAGCCCTGTTCCGGGAAGGCTTTCCCCACCTAGGACCTGGGCTCGCTCAGGTTCCAGGGCCAGGCCTCTCCATTTCACAGGGGCCCTGTTTGCTGAACGCAGGGAAGGAGGAGAACTGTAGCCGGGTGCAGCTCCCCACACTGACCCTGCGAGGCCCGGGCAGCGGCCCCTGCCCTGTCGTCATCCTTTCACACCAGAGAGGGATCCTGTCTCCTGGTCTGTTTAATTCTTCTATTATGTTTCCTAGACTCGGAGCCTCTGGTTCCCTATTGTCCTGAGCAGTACTTTGCATTTGTGTAAAGATTAGACGTGGTAGAACCTTCGCTCTCCTTCCAAATGGTCTTTCTCTTTTACTTTCTCAAATCCGAGTTCTTTCTCTCGCGCTAGGCTCTGCTTCCTTGTCCTCCCTCTCTCCCTACCTGTCTTTATCTGCCTCCCTGTTTGTTTTCCTTCCCACCTGGACCCCCTCCTGCTCCCCGCTCACCTGCTTGTTCTTCTTTCTTCTCTTCATGGTTCAGTAGTTTGAATTCTCTGTCTGCCCCTTCCCCCACCCTGACCCTGTTTAATTCCGTATTTATATTCTCTGGGAGGCTAATAGAAATGACTAGGAGTATGGCTCACCTCATTCCAGAAATACTCTTCTAAATTCTTAGAGAGGTACCTTGGCGGGGGACGGCAGTGAGCACCGCGTGGGGAGTCTCTGGTTTTTGCTGGAGGGACCGAGATCCGAGTCCCAGTGCCAGCTCTGCATCCACCAGCTGCGTGACCTTGGCCAAGCCAGGCCCCTCTCTGAGTCTCCCGGGGCAGTAGTGGAGCTGATCCCTAGATCCTAACAGCTGCCTCCCAGGGCCACGATAGAGGGGAGCTGAAAATGCTCTGAGCACACAGTAGGTGCTCAGAAAGGTTTGCTCCTGCTTCCACTGCAGCCTGACCCAGCCTGGGGGGAGGAAGATCACGCTGACGGTTCTCTCTCTCCTCAAGTTCTGGCCCTCTCTCTGTACTGGGATGGCACGCACACAGCCAGACGCACGTGTATGCTCTGGTCACGCCCTAGGACGAAGCAAGCTTGCCTGTTTCTCTGTGGTCATCTGTTTCCCCCTCCATAAATGTCGGATGACAAGATCGCTGCTGAACACAGCAACGAAAAATTGAGCAGCCTGGGTTCCTGGGGACCTGATTTCCACAGTTGAAAGCCAGGCATGTATTCATGCCTTCTCTCCTCCCTCGGAGAGCACTCACTCAGAGGGCTCCCACTGTGTGCCAGGCCGACTCCGGCCTTGCCTTCTCTGGAGCTCCGGACCTCGAGATTGCTGGGGAGATAAGCCCAGCGTCATGAGTCAGGCAGGCAGGAGAGCGAGGCTCTGGGAGTTCCGAGAAATGAGAGGGCTTTTCCTGGTGTACCTGGAGACAGGGTCCCTGAAAGCCATCACGGGAGGTGGACTCTGAGCCAGGCCTGGGCAGGAACAGAGGGCGACTGCTGGTCCCACAAGCTGCTTAGCTCAGCACTGGTGCATCCCCACTCTGTCTCCAGCAAGGCCCAGCTTCTGAGCTAGCAGAGAGGCAGGAGTGGAATGCTAGCCCCCAGGGTGCACCCCCGCCCCCAACTTGCCTTTTTTGAAGAGAGTAGCCACGGAGTGAGCCAAGTGCCCTGTCATGTCCAAGGTGGGAGATCTTTCAAGGGGTACTTTGTGTGTGTGCCCACAGGGGCAATAAGTTCTGGAAGGGACCAGAATGCCTGTCCCCAGGCCCTGGGGGACGGATGAGGAAGGAGGGGAGGGGGCACTTCCTGGGTGAGGTAAGGATGAGGCAGCTCCAGGCTGGTCAGAGGTCAGGGGTGAACTGTGTCCTTCACTGAGGGAAGCCAGCCCAGAGAGGGCTCTGATTTGCCCAAGGCCACACAGCCTTGAGCACCCCTTTTCCCCTCCCACACAACAGAGGGGGCATCCTCAGCCTGGTTGGCAGTGGGCAGGCGGGATGGCAAGGTCTCCTCCAAGGAGGAGGAGGGTTTTGCCCGTGGATCTCCCCCTTCCAACTCTCAGCTCTGGGCAAGACCCATGGAGAGCCCCACAGAGAGTGAAGAAGGGGGTCGGGGCACACTGGGGATGACCCGAGGCAGCCCAGCAGAACCAGGAGGGGTCCCTGGCGACTGCAGGGAAGCTGCAGTACTCCAGGAGGTGCTCCAGGCACAGAGGGACGAGCGGGGGGCCTCCGCTCCCGCCTCCACCCTCCCCTGTCCCCCCCACCGCGGAGGAGGCTGGGGCAAGCGGCGCACCCGGGCGGAGGCGGTGTCATCGCTCTCCTGTGCAGCGGGGCAGGGCTGCATGGGCAGGGGCGGGGCCCTGACTGGTGTTATAAGAAGCAGCCAGGGCACTGAGGCAATGAGCTATCGGCTTGGCTTGGCAGCAGGACGCTGGCAACAGGCGAGCTCCCTCCCCTGGTCCAGCCCGTGTGCTCCGCCGCCGCTATGGTCGCTGTGCCCACGGCCTGGTGCTCCGTCGCGCTGGCCCTGCTCCTGGCTCTGCAGGAAGGTGAGCCGCCGCCCCAGCCTCACCTGCCACGGCAGCCGCCCCCGGCTGGGTCTGCTCGAGGGTGTCTCCCTCCCCCTGGGGGTACTCGCCAGTCAGCTGGGGGCCCTCAGGGTGGGAGCCCCGCAGCCGTGGCAGCTCCAGGGAGCTCTGCAGGGACAGCGGTGCTGCAGGCACTGGGCAGCGCCGGCCCTTCCCACCGGGGCTGCTGGGGCTTCCCCGGGCGGGCCTGCAGCTCCTGAGCAATGAGAATGCCAACTTCCTCGATTATGCAAGAGGTGGAGCCCGGCAGGTCCCCCAGCCCAGCTGTGCCAGGCACCCTGACCCAGCTCTCCACCTCTCTCTCCTTGTGCACGCAGGCAAGGGCCAGGTGACTGCCGCGGCCCCGGAGCATCCGGCGCCCTCACCCCGGGCCCGAGGCCCCCACCTGCGGCCTCGACGTTGCTCCTGCAGCTCCTGGCTCGACAAGGAATGCGTCTACTTCTGCCACCTGGACATCATCTGGGTGAACACTCCCGGGTGAGCGACCGCAGGGATCCAGGCGGGGCTGCTGGCAGCGGGGCAGGGGATGGGGAATGTCTCGCGGAGTACAGCGCTCCCTGGGTCTCCAGACAGGATTGCTGCGCTAACATGAAGAGTTACTGGTTATTGTTCCAACTCCCACGTGGGGGCTGCCTAAGCGATGGAGTGCTAGCTCAGGAGAATTCTCCAGGTCCCCCTGGAGAGGGGAGGAAATGGCATCTCACAGAAGTAAACATACAGGCTCACAGCTAAGCTATTGGCCCCATTTTCCAGATCGGGGCACTGAGGCTCAGAGAGGTCGGGTGCCTGCCCCAGGATTACACAGGAAGGAGTAAGTGGTAGGTGGAGGCTCCATCCTAGGCCCATGGCTGCCAAAGCTCACGAGCAGTCTGCCATGCTGCCACTGCACGGTCTTCCAAGAATAAGACGATTAACGACAGCACCCGTGCCTTGACGGGGCCAGGCTCTGGGCCAAGCCCTGCTCGTACGTTACCAGCTCTCGAATCCCCCATCCTCCCCATGAGGCAGGCGCTGCTGCTGTCCCCAGGGACAGGATGAGAAACCTGGCCTGTGCCATCCCGCAGCGCTGGGGTGGGAGCCCCGTGCTGTCTGTTTCTGTCTGCACCCGCACTGCCTCCGGGCCACTGCATACTTCGAGTTGAAGTTTCTCTGTGTGTTTGTGGGTTTTTTTTTCCCTTCCCCAAATTGCAAAAGGCAAGAGAAGCCCTGCACGTAAGCGTGTGTGGAGCTAATCCGCATCCAAACACTCGCTCAGGGCGGGAACCCTGCCAGTCCCTGCGTGCTGGGTCTACCTGGAGTCAGTATAACTTCAACCACATTGTCTAAAATTAGCTCTGGCACCCGAAGGTGCTGGTCCAACCGTCCACAGGGCCCTTGCCCTGCCCCCAGCCTGCCTTGGCCAGACTTTGCATCTGAAATCGATCCCCCCTGATCTCACTCACACACACACACACACACACACACACACACACACACACACACACACACGAGCACTTGCGCACACCAGTTTTAAGTCAGAGCTCTAAGACACATTCATCGCCCCTCCAGTCAAGGGGTGACCAGGTGAGGGCAGCTTAGCTGTGAGCCTGTATGTTTACTTCTGTGAGATGCCATTTCCTCCCCTCTCCAGGGGGACCAGCCTGGCCCTCTCCATCGGCTCAAGTTCCTGGCTCAGAGAGAGGGGAGGGGCTGGGAGGACGCCCCACTTCCCGACTTAGGGACGGAGCACTGTTTCAGCTCCTCCTCTCCGTGCTGGGAGGCTTACTGAGCGGGACCAGGGCTGCAGGAGCAAGCAGAGGCCCAGAAAGGGGACGGACCTTGTCCAGGACCACCTGGCAACCAGGGAGGGGCCTGTGCTGGGGCTTCTTGAGGCCAGGGGCTGGTAACATTTTGCTTGCACCCTGGTGGCATGGGGGGCCATCCCAGTGTGTGCCGTGGGCAGTCTCTGCTCTCCAGTGGTTGGAGTTTATCTAATCCTCTCTCCCTCTCCTTCTCCCCTCCTGTCTCTCCACCCTACACCACTACCTTGCTGGCTGCCTGCCCACAGACAGACAGCTCCTTACGGCCTGGGAAACCCGCCAAGACGCCGGCGCCGCTCCCTGCCAAAACGCTGTGAATGCTCCAGTGGTGGGGACCCCACCTGTGCCACCTTCTGCCATCGAAGGCCCTGGTACGTGGGCACCCAGTACCTGGAAGACCAGCCGAGCAGAGTGGCTAATGGTGAAGGAGCAGGGTCCTGGGAGCCTGTAGGCTGCCCGGGGCTCGTGGGCAGTATCCCTTTCTGTGGCAAACCAGTCACCCCAAGTCCCTCCCACTGCCCAGCTCTGGGGGCTTCTGAGAGCATCCCAGCCTCACTCCTGGGCAGGAGGGACTCTCCCCAAGTGACAGCAGAAGCAGCTCAGACAGAGAGGGGACAGAACTTGTCCTCTCAGGCTGCACAGCTAGTCAGAAGGAGAGCTGGGCCTTCAGCCTCAGTCTGTCTGCCCAAGGGCACTGGGCTTTGGCTTCTGAGCTGTGATGCGGAGGGCTTTGGAGCTTTCTGGGTGGAGAAGTAACATCTAGACTTGGGAGGCTGGGGCACTGTCCCAAGGTTGTCACAGAGTTGCTGGGGGCTGGAGGGCAGGGGGTGGGGAGCTCTGCCAAGTCTCTTAACTCTCTGGGCCTCAGTTTTCCCACCTGTAAAAGGGGTGGGAGACTTTGTTCCTTCGCTCACCCACTTGGAGCATTTGGGGAAAGTAGAAACTGGCTTCACAGTCCCAAACCTGCCTTTCCTATGATGATATATGAGAAACTTCTCTGAGACTCAAGCTGTGGCTCCACCCCTGCCTCAGTTTCCCCTGCAAAGGACTGTGCTCAGCTGCAGGTGGCTGGATTCTGGGAAGGCCAGGCACCCAGCTGCCTCTTTCTGAGGCTAAGAACGCATTCCCGGCAGCTCGGTTTTCCTCAGCCCCTACCCCGCCTGGGAAAGGAAGGATGCCAGGTGCACAGGGTGGAAATGGATCTGCTTGGGGGGGGGGGGCACTGGGGCCACAGCCAGGTGTTCTCAGGGCCCTGGACAACCCCTCACTCGGGTCCTAATACTGTTCATTCAGGGCCGAAGCTGTGGTAGTCCCAGGCAGCGGGTCCCCCGCCGACGTGTTCCAAGCTGGCCGGACATGGATGTCCACAGGGGAGCTCCTCCAACAGCTGAGGTAAGGGGTGCCTGCACTGGCCGAGAACCTCCTGTATGCTTTGCACGTTGCCCTCATTCTCCAAAGAAGGCAGGACTGGGTCCTTACTGGGCAGCCAAGGGAACTGAGGCTCAGAGGGGTAAAAGCACTTGCCCAAGGTCCCAGCGGTCCGTGGCAGGCATCTGGAAGGCTCCAGAGCTGGAGGTCATAGCTGCTGTGCTCTCTGTCCCCACCAGGCCCGGAGGTTGACTTTCTTAGGTGGGGGCTGAGGGACTGTGACTGTGGAAGGCCCTCAGGTGTTCATTCAGGTGGTGACGCGTCTCCTACGTGCTGGGTCCAGAGTGGTCAACGATCTAGCCTGTCCCCTCCTCCCTGTCCCAGACCGGATCCCCTTCCTGGCAGCCTCAGCATGGCTCAGCTTGAGGCTTGGCACTCGGGATGTGCCCATGAATGTCTGTCCAACCAAACTGACTTGAGAATAGAGCCCCCACATCTGGCCGTGCAGCCGAGTGGCTAAAGGGGCAGCTTCTGAGCCAGGACTGGCCGATTTGAACCCCAGCTCTGCCACAAACAAGCCTTTGTGACCATGGGCTTATCGCTTCACTTCTCTGTGCTTCAGGTTCCCATTTTGAACCAGGGACGCCGGTGCAAGCCATGTCTAGGGGTCGTTGTGAGGTTGGATGCGTTGATGTAGATGGAGGTCCTCAGGCAGGGCCTGGCACCCACTGGGAGCTCTGGAGGGGCGTTAACCATTCAGACCTCTGTCCCTGAGGCTCCTTGGAGCTAGCCAGTGCTGAGGCCCAGCGTGGCCCCCCTGGGGGCTCCCATTTTTGTGGAGAGCCTGAAACGTAGGAGGCAGGGCAGGATGGGGAAGGGATAGGGAAGACCCAGCAGATACTTAGGAACTGTCCGAGGATGCAAAAAATCAAGATTCAGACTTTGCAAGTGCACGGCACCTCGTAGTGGGCGAAGAGCTTGCTCTTCCAACCCATACTCATCCTCACACCAGCGAGGCCTGTGTTTATTTTACAGACTAAGGAAGGGGCTTGGAGAGGTTGCCACACTTGCCTCAGTTCCCATAGCTGGGAACTGCAGCCAGCCTCCCAGCTCTAGGCTAGAACCCTTGGAGCCAGGACAAGACCACTTGGATGACGCCGGAGTCCCTGCCAGGGTCTCATCCCAGTTCGAAGGGCAGCTAGGACCCATATTTGTCTGGGTTGAGCTACCTTGAGCTGGACATTGAAGAACGGGAATTTTGGTCTATGGAATTTGGGTGAGGGGAGGTGAAGAGCCTAGAAGGAACAGCAGGAGCAAAGGTGTGGAAGTGAGAAGGCAAGTCACAGGAGGTACACTGTTCTTGGCCCTCTGGTTGTTCCAGCAGCCTTTGACATTGAACATCAGCTTCCTCAAAGTCCCCGTGGGCCGAGGAGCTTCTAGGCCTGGTCTGGCCTGTCCCTGATGTGCAGACTTTGTTTCCAGAGTGAGCTGTGGCTGCCCTCTGACCTCGGGGCAGCTGTGATTCAGGGGGCCAGGTCCTATCGCTGCTGCCTGTCCTGGGGAACTCTTGGGCAGCCCATATCTCCCAAGATGCTAAATGGACCTTTCTCAATTCCAGTAACATTTCTGCCGCCAAGATCCGGTTTGCTAGGCGACACCAGGATTCAGTGAGGGAGCTGAGACCCACACACCCCAGGCGGAGGAAGAGATAGTGCTGGTTGCCAAGGAACGCTGGGAAGGAGCCTGTGTGGAGCCGCGAGGAGAGGGGCAGCCCAGGGCCAGGGACCCCACCTGCTGGGGTGAGGGAGCTTCCCCCAAGGCAGCTCGTGCCCTCCGCCTGCCCAGGAAAGCCTTCAGCCCCTCAGCTGCAGAGCGGCCTCCCCCGCCGGCCCTGGCCCCACCACCCCGCTGGAAGGAACCGCATGAGGAGCGTGCTGACCTGGAGGCCACGTCCTGAGAGGTTTCCTGTCTGTTGGCTACAAACCAGGATCAATGAGCAGTGGTGGACACTCAGACCGAAGCCAGCCCTGGAGGCTAGATGGGGCTGGTGTCCTGGGTGGCCCCCATCCGTCCCCTCGAGCTCTCCCTCCCCAGAGTCCTCCCACCCTCATGTCCTCGGGACACTCCTGGTGAGAACGGCCTGCTCTGCTTCACCTGTCTGTATATAACTTATTTGCTCTCAGAACTTTGAGAATTCCAATTATTTATTTTAATGTATTTTTTTAAACTCAATTATTTACCTGCGAACTTGTGTTTGTAATAAACGATGAAACGGTAATCTGGCATTTTGTCTTGGCTGAAGCAGAGGTGGGAGGCACCTCTCGGGAAGCGGCTGCTCAGGGGTTAGGGGGACACAGAAAGGAGAGAGAAAGGGTCTGGGGCAGGTGGCCGGAGCCCTGGGTTCCACATCCCGTGCCCTTGCTGGGCACCTCTAGCTGCTAACCCAGCCTCTCTAGGCTTTTGCCTATCATGTGCCTGGGCAGCTGTTTGCAGCTTTGACATCCAGCATTCCGGGACCTGTGTTCCCATCGGGCCAGTCACCTATGGCCAGGCCTTTCCCAAGAGCATGTTTGGAAGGAGTCAAGACCCACTTCTGCTCCAGCAGCCGTCGCCGGGAACTGTCATGAGGCCCAGAGTGAATCTGGCCAGTGAGGGCTGGAGCCAGATGGATCCCAAGACTGTGTGCAGCCCGAGGGGCCAGTGATGGGCGCTGCGATGGACCTACGGCCTGGCCCTAGCTTGTCCCCTGCCTCTGCCCTCGCTAGGGAACAAGAAGTGAGTTTTGACCGAGGAAGCCCAGGGCTCTAGGCCTGGGTTGGCCAGTCCTGCCAAGGCCCAAGAAGCAGCCCACCGGAGTTCCAGGGATGGCCAGCAGTCACGATCACCCCTGCTGGCGGCCGCCTGGACCCACAGCCTCCGTGTCCGCCAAATCCTCCTGCGACAAGCTGTTCCCTTTTCTCCCGGCTGGCCTGTGCTGGGAGAGGCAGGTGGCCAGAATGGCTATTGCAAGATAATTATTTACACACTGCCATGTCCACGAAGCCAGCCCTGACCCCCTCACGGAAGAACAACATGCCACACGTATTGAAACCCTACCGTATACTTGCACTTGACCCGTATTAACTCATTTTCTCCATCTCAACAACCCTATGACGTAGGGACTTTTATTACTTCTGTTTTAATGATGAGGAAAAATTGGGGCAGAGACAAAGCAATTTACTTGCCCAAGGTCACACAGTAAGTGGTGGCATCAGGACTTGAACCCAGAGTCTATATAGTACATATGGATGTATGGGTGTGTGTATTTAATAAATATTATTGGTTGAATTCATGAATCACCACTGCAGCATGACCTGGGACAAATCTCTTTCTCTTTCTGGGCCTTAGTTTTGTTTTTGTTTTTAATCTACAAAATGGGAAACAATATAGTCTCGAGCTTGTAGGGCAGGTGTGAACACGAAACAGACTGCTGGACTCAGCCCTGGGCCTGATAAGAGGCAGAGGCTGCTTGTCGGGCCACCGGAAATGATTCTGTAATGAGCAGAAGAGCCCCCTAGCTGGAGGACCTGAGGCGGAGCAGCTGGGGTAAAGAGGAGTGGTCAGAATAAGACTCCTGGACAAAGGGGCTGCTCCCACCGTCTCCAAAGATGAGTAAGACTCAAGTAGGAAGAAATCGGAGAGGGAATTCCAGACAGAGGGAACTGGGAGGGTGAAGGCATGGTAGCAGGAGGGACAGAGGCGGATCCCGTGGAGGACCCCATGTGGCTGGAGCATGGTGAGGAACGGACAACAGGAGATGATGCCAGAGAGACCTCGAGACCCAAGCAAGGAGGCTGGACCTTCTCTGGTGGGCAACAAAAGGTCTTTGAGTCACAGGGGCCCTGGTCAGAGCTGGGCTTTGGAACTATGCCACCTGAGGGCTGCACAGGGCAAGACTGGACAGGGGAGCCAGTTCATCCCTGGCCCTCAGGGGTCCACAGGGCATCCTGGGTAGTGAGGGTTGGAATAAGGGGGCCCAGGGCCAGGGCACGCTTCTCAAATCTCAGCAGAGCCTCATGCTGGAGGAATCTCACTCCCTGGCAGCCCAGCAGCCCATGCAAAATGGCCCTGTCCCTGGGAAACCCCAAATCAATAGCCAGTGGCCAGGCTGGGCAACTGAGTAGGGCAACCCTAGGATAGCAGGTGTGAGGGAGGCCTGGCAGAGGGAGGCCGAGATCCCAGTTGAGGGTGTGTCAGAGGCCCAGGGAAGCAGGCATTCACTGCCCTTGGCACAAGTCCCTGTGGCCCTGGCCAGAGTTCAGAGATCAGAGACCCAAATGATTAAGTCACAGAGACGATTAAAGGGAGGGGAGGAGGCCCAGGAGGCAGGTATAGGCAAGGTGAACGGTGCAGTCTCTTGGATCCTTATTCCTGGGGAGTGGGGCCCTCCAGCTCGGGTCCTGCACTTTAGGGGGTCCTACTCTGACCTTCCTCGGTCACCTTTGTCTCCACAGGACAAGAAGTTTGCAGGGCCAAGGGGTCATGTGGGCCCCAAGTCTGCTCCTGCTACTAGACCACAGTGCAGCTAGCGGGGGGGGGGGGGGGGTGTGCAGAAACAGGGCAGAAGGTGGGATGGTGTGCGGAAGGAGCAGAGGGAAATCTGGGAGGGGCAGCTGCTGAGTCAAAGCAAACCCTGGAAGCAAGATGTCAGCACTTTAGGAAGCTTGTCTGGAGTTCGTAGGACAAAATCTCCCCTTTTCCTGCCTTTTTCTGCCTTTGCCATAAATACTTAACTGGTTTTGTCAAGGCTTTGTGAGTCAAATTTATGTTCCTTTGGGCTGGAACACCAGGCAGGGATAGGCCAGAAGGGGGCACAAGATGACCCAGATTTACTCAGGTTACGTGCACAGATGGAAGCCGAGGCAGAGGGGAGTGTGGTCCCGTGTCCAGGACTAGGCAGCCTGATGCATAGCCAGGCCGCAGACGGGGCCTTTCCGTCCTCGGGTGGCTCTCCCCACACAGTTTAGAAAAGTCATCTGCTCATGAATAATCACCTCTCCGGAGACTCTTGTGAGCAAGACAGACACAGCTCCTGGCCTCACAAAAGAAAAGAAAAACACTGTTAAATATTAAGATAAAAATAATAGCTAGCATTTACTGAGCACTCACTAAGCGCTTTATGCACACAAATTCCTTGGTTCTTTACAGCAACTTGCACAGCAGGTTCTATCATTATTATTCCCATTGCAATAGAAGAGGTAGCTGTGCGGTTGAGTAACTTGCTCTAAGTCACACAGCTAGTATGTGGCTGAGCCGGGATTTAAACCCCAGGCTCTAAACTTCTACACCTCACAGCCTCTCTGATAGGACATCCACACGGTGATGGAGTCCCTGGGGTGGGAGAACCCAGGGTGGCTTCCTGAAGGAGGTGACATCAAGGCCAAGCTCAAGGGAGTCAATTACGTGAAGGAGGAGAGTAGACAAGAATGGTCCACACAGGTGGGCCAGCAGAGGCGAAGGCCGGGTGAGGAAGGGAGCCATTCTCAGCCCCTTTCAGGGAGCAAAAGAAGAAGGGGGTCCGGGGAAGGCTGGAGAGGGGGAGGCAGGAATGGGCCGTGCCCTCCTGAGCCCCAGGTCAGGCCAGAGCCCCGGGCGTGGGGGGAAGGGGCTCCGAGCAGGGAGACTACAGCAGCTCTCACTGCCCATCACAGCCTCAGACAATGTCTCCCAGGAGAATATTCCCATGCCTGAAATGCCCTCCACTTGTGCTTCATGCCTCTGGCTCAAACCACACTTGCTCCACTCAAGGGTCTCACGGGCTGGCAGGGAAGACAGACGAGCCAAAGTGATGGGACAGGAGGAGGGCTATGTTACGGACTGCCCTTCCAGCTGGGTTGGTGGGGGGCGGGGGGGAGTTTGGAGAATGGGTAGGGTTTGCACACGCTCGGACGAGGGAAAGGGCATCGCTACTAGGGGATAGGCGTGAGGCGTGTCTGGCCAGAGCTCCGAAGGATCTGGAGACAGGCAGCCGGCCCGCTCAGCGGGGGCCAGGCTGGAAATGGCATCCAGTCCCAGGACTTTGAGCTTGAGTGATGGGCACCAGCGAAGGTGGCTAAGCAGGACAGAGCCAGGGCAGGGGCTGGCCTTGGGCAGCTGGCTTGTCGTGGTCCGCTCTCCAGCCACTGCTTCCAGCTCACCAGGGCCCGCCCAGCCCCTCCCAGGGGAGAGCGGAGTGTGGGCCTCGCCTCGGCCTGCCAGGGACCTGAGCCAAGGGCCCTCGGCAGCTCGGAAGGGGGCCGTGTGCAGGCCCGCCCCAGGAGCCCTGGAAGAGGAATGTGGCCTAATTAATTCTCCGCAGCTCAGAGGGCCTCGCCTGGAGGGAGCCGCTGCCAGGACAGGCCCGCCAGGCTGCCACTGGGCCGGCCTGTCCATCACTCAGTGCTGGAGAGACTGAGGGGACAGCACACGGGGAGCTGGGAGACGGGGGCTCAGGGAGCTGGCCCTTCGCCTCCAGGCACACACGTGTCCTCCGACCCCTTCACGGCTAAAACTACGATGATGGCAGTAACCTGTAGGCCCCGAGCGCTCACGGGACGGCAGCCTCTGTGCGAAGCAGGCCGTAGGCTCTCTCATCGTGGCCTCACGAGGACCGATGAGGAGGGGGCTCTTATCTCCATCTTGCTGGTGAGCTACCTGAGCGTCAGAGAGATAAACTCTCCTGCCCGGGATCAAGCATTCAGGAAGCCTGAGCAGGGAAAGTGGGATTTAGAGTCGGGCAGTCTGGGTCTCCAGAGCACGTTGTCATAAGTGCCGTGCTGGGCCGGCTCAGCCGGGGAAATCGAGGCCCCAGGGAGGTAGGATTCTGTTCCCAAGGACAGCTGGCTAAAAAGGGGTCCCAGGCTAGTAAATGGAGTGAGGACCTGCAGAAGGAAAGGCCATGCCTCTAGCCTCTGCTTCCAGAGGCTTCCCAGGGGCTTCTCCCTCCCTCGCCCACGAGTGACCCCCAGGGAGGCGGGGCTCACTACTCCAGGCAGGTGGGGCAGGAAGAAGTGATCCTGTCTCCCTAGAGTCTCTAGCCATGCAGTGCCAGGACCCAGAGCCCCTGTGACAGCACCCCCAGCTGGGCCGCGCACCCTGAGGCTCCTCCCAGGGAACCTATTCCCCACACAGTGGGGACACGGAGGCCAAGGGCGGCTCAGGGCATCAGGGAGGGCCTAGACCAGGGCCTTATGGCTAGAGAGTGGCAGAGCCAGGACGGGCACCCATACTGGCCTGAAGCAGACCGGAAGGAGGGCAGAGTGGCCACATCGTGTCCCCACCTCCCAGCCTCTGCTTCCTCATCTGCCGTGCAGGGGTGAGAGGGCGGGTGCATGGGCTTGTCCCGGGGCTCCTTAGTAACAGCCCACGCTAACAGCACTCCATGTGTCAGGCACCATCCTAAGTACTGTATTTAATTTTAAAATTGTATTCCTAACTACATAATGTATCATCATAAGGCTGTACCGTAACGTGTCGCCTCATAGGTGTACATTTAAGTTTGTCCAATTTCCCACCAGTAAAATAGTACTGTGTGCTATGTTTGTACATAAATTTTATATTCATTCCTAATTCTTTTTTGCTACATATTTTTTTATTGAGACATAATTCACACACCATAAAATTCCCTCTCTTAAAGAGTACACTTCAGTGGGTTTTAGTATATTCACAAAGTTATACAATCCATCACCACCATCTAGTTCCAGAACATTTTTATCTCCCCCAAAAGAAATAGCCTTGGCAGTCATTCCCCACATCTCGGTTCCCCCCCATCCCCAATTCCTGAAATTACCGATCTACTTTCTGTCCCCATGGATTTTCCTACTCTGGACGACATTTCATATAAATGAAATCACTCGACGTGGCCTTTTGTGTCTTCTTTCACTTAGCATCAGGTTTTCAAGTCCCCTCCACGGCACAGTATGCATCCGTATTTCATTCCTTTCCATGGCAGAATGACATCCCATGCTAGGGATGGATTACGTTTGGTTTATCCATTCATCCTCTGAAGGGCATTGGGGTTGTTTCAACTTTTTGGCCTAAGCACTTTTTAGCCCTCAACAACCCTATGGGGAGGTGCTGTTCTGTCATAATATAGACAAAAAGACTGAGGGTCCTTTCCCAGGTCATTTAGCTAGTGAGCAGCAGCGGTGGGCTTTGACTCAGGAGTCTGAGTCCCTGGGATGATGACTTTGACCTTCGGGCAGTACTGCCTCCTCAGTCAAGTAAGACAGTGTGGGTTGGTGCCCACAGTAAACTGCACTGGACGGGTCATCCATCAGGCCTTTAGCAAAGGGTGGCATTTCTCAGCAGTGTTTCT